AAACGCACCGTTTTCCCAAGTCATTTGAATAAAAAGTAGTATTCTTTCTTCTTTCTGGTTTGCAGAATACCTAAACACTCTGTAGCTCCGCTCATCTTCTCCTTCACCATATATGCCCAGACTTGGGTGATCCTTGGAGGTCCTCACAAAAATTTATCTTGGCTTCCGGTGGTGCTAGGACCACCCAGGCCCCTTAACAAATCCGTCCATCTGCACTTGCCCAAATTGTTGGAGGGTCCCGAAGGTTGATCACAAGTGTTTCTTCAGGCTTTCGGAGGGTCCCGGGATCTCCCGAGTCCCTATATGGATCCGCCATTGGACACACCCCGACCCAAAATATCTACTAAGACTCCAAATCGAGCTGTGTTGGCCGACACCTGGAAGGTGACAAAGCCATAAAATGTAGTGATGTGGAAAATGTGAGTAAATTTAAACCTAAAAGTGCCTAAGTATAAAAGTGTGCTTTGAGCGAGAATGAACCCATTTCACACATGATGTCAGAGCATAAGTACAATACAGTAAGATATTGTGAGAATTATACCATCGAAGGTAATCGTTTACACCAAGATTTTCCAAGAATCCTCGCCTTAAAACAAGTATAGTTTCCAAAATATACATACTATGTATAGTATGAAAATACCTACCGTAGCCTGCAAAATCACAAGATTGCCATATGTCGCAATATTGCGTAAATGAACATATAACAACCAATAACACATAATATCGCATAAGAAAACATATCATATTAGGTGCTCATTGACACATTCTAACACGCGAGTTCATGCAGAGGTATTTTGACATGAACTGGATTGGGTGTAATAATAATATACGTTATAGTGCTACAATTATGTAAATACTGGCGCTATTTGCAGTCACATATGAGTTGGAGTTGTCTATTACAACTTGTACGACAAGACCGATACTTACTTGGATCCAAGGTGAGCGTGCAGTGTGGATGTGAACATACATGTGAAAAACTGGCCCTGGGTGAGCACTAACACCGGTGCAAAAAACGATGAACAAATAACATAATTATAATCATGCCACAACCATTCAACAATTCTAGTCAATATCATACTATTCATGACCATAAATATAATTAAGGCGTCCCCTTATAGTAAGCTTACATGTGTATCCCGTATGATAGTCTCATCATTTCCCAACAATAAGGCATTTCTTATAAACGTAAGTTTAATCATGGTAATCACGTATAGAATTTATTTATATATCAAAGAAAAGACCCACTTACAAATCATGTCGCCAAGTCAAACCCGTCTTGTAGCATTGAGAGTCCTTACGATCCGTTTCTCCTAAAAACGAAACAATTTACGTAAATATAATGTGCTAATAAAATTACGTGTTTTCGTACAAAATACGGCTAATAAAGGAACTATCCTACAACGGTCGAATTTCAGAAAACGAACGGTGAATTTGGAATCAGCGCGTTGAAATACGCTAAAGAGGGTCCACAACCCTATACAAGTCAATTTGGGACATCTGCCCATGGATTTTCGATCCATAACTTCCCAAAGTCCACACTATGCTTCTAGAACAACATAGTAAAACTTCTTTATGATTCAACCGTCGAATCGCCGCTAATCGCAAATTCAAGTGGTAGTCAAAGTTAGATTTTACAAACTTTAGAAATTCAATTCGGGAAGATCCATACGTCAGATTCCAGATCCGTAAGTTCCAAATGTCCAAAAATATTACGTACTATCATGTATTAAAGTTTGGTGACAATCCAACAGTCGGATCATCCATTCATATAATAAACAAGTAGCAGCCAACTAGGCGGTCCACTACGATACTGTATTCAAACATCAGGATTTCACTAAATGGATGTCAATTATGAAATCGGGGCATCAAATTATCCCAGGATGGTTAGGTGGGGCCTCGGCCCACGTGGCAGTCGGTCGTCTCGACTTGCCTTAAAATTCAACTATTTCCAAAATTTACCAAATTTCACAGAATTGTAGATCTCGATGAGTGAAGCAAGTTTCATACCTATTGCCAAGCCCAATTTGGCCAGGAAAAGTCCCAATTTCCCCCGAATTCGCCTGAAACCCTAGAAATTAGTGGCTTTGATCCATCACCTTTGGTGTTCCGCCGCCCCTATAGTTGCTTGGGCTTTGTTACCTGCCTCACGAAAAGTAGTTTGATGGTGGTGGTAGACTGCACTACCTTAAAAAATGGCGGAATTTAGCCGTACACCCCAAGAACTCGCCGGTGAGTTCATCACGAATTCAAGGCCAATGTAACTCGATTTTTGATGAAATTGGAAGAGGAAGGGGTGCTAGGTCAAATCTAGGTGGTGTGTGGCTTCTAATCGCCGGAGAAATCGCCTGAAAAGGCGTCAGAAACCATGGCTACGACCGGGTCGGGCAGCGAGTCAATGGATGACCCAATTTGGTTGGTTGTTCCCTCCCCCCCTCCGGTTCCTCTCATTTTCTTTCATCTCCTTTCTCTCCTTCCTTCTTTCTCCATTGGTCACTCTTATTCCTCTCTTCTCCCCCGATTTGGCCAACCTCTTTTTTTTTTTTCCTCCTGTTTTCTCTTCTTCCGATAGGCCTCCCACTTCCTCCTTTATTTCTGATTGGGCAGCCCCCAAGCCCTCATTTTTTTTCACGATTAACAAAAACTTTAAGAGTGAAATATTGCTTCTTTTTCAATTTGAATTACAAGCGTTGACTATAAGATTATTTGAAATGCAACTCATAGTCAATTTGGCAAATCGACGTCTAAATACGTGTTACACTCATTACTCGTAGGATATTAAATCAAAATAAAAAAGCTTAATTGACTTCGAGATTAACTTCAGCAAATAAAGAAAAACATATTACTAATTCCTTAACAATTTTCTTGGTCATGCATCAAATTAATTATTATTCCTACGGTCATGCATATAATTAATTATTAGGGTAAATCTCAGTTTACTACTCTCAAGTTTCATGGTTTTTAATATTTGGTACATGAAGTTATTTTTTTCGTTCCAGAGTCATACCTAAAATGTTAATTTTGGGACAGTCTCATACATTCGTTAGTCTGGCTGTTAAGTCTCCCATTAACTGATGACATGAAGCCAATATGGACAATGACTGAGCGCCACGTGCCATTAAGAGGTCCATGTGGAAATTAAAAGTTCAATAAAAAAAAATTTGGTCGTCTTTTACCTCCCCCGACCTTCCATTTCTCCCTTATCCCTCCATTCTCTCCTCTGCACCAACCCACCAAATCCTCATCTCATCTCCTCTTTGACTCATCATACATCCACCATTCCCCCTCCATCTTCGACTTCACCCATCCACCCACATAACCCTCATATTTTCTTCAACGACCTTCATAAGGTCGAACCTCCGACCTCCATCTACCTAATTTGAAGCGATGGAAAGCCACGGGGTGCTAACCAAAACTACAACCCCTTTGCCGTCGATATTCTGGATCGTGGAGCTTCTCCGATTGCAACTGGTTTCAGTGTTGCCTTCGAGTCAAACCATGACGTCAGTGCTTCGTCAACGATCTCTTTGACTGCCGCAGCTTGGAGCAGTAGCCTAAGATAGGCTGTGTCATCAATCAGATTTGGAATGAGGGTTTGGTGGCTTCGTGCAGATGAGAGAAATGAAGGATAAGAAGGGAGAGAGCGAGGTACAGATGGACGGAGGAGAAATCGAAGTCGTTGCCGGTGCAGAAGTGCCAAAGCTTTGATCTTGTCGTAGATCTGGCGGCGCATGGCTAAATATGGAAGGGGAATGATGGATTTGCAAGGAGTGAGAGGAGGATTGGGTAGGTGCAGAGAAGAGAAGGAAGAGAGGGAGGGCCGAGGGATGGGATGCGGTAGGAGATGAATTTTTTTTAAAAATTATTTATAATAATATTTTTAATTTTTTTAATCCACGTGGCGCCCAATCATTGTCCATGTGGGCTCTACGTCACCAGTTAACGATTGATTTAACAGCAACCTTAACGGAGGTACGAAAGTGTTCCAAAATTATGACTTTAGGTACCACTCTGGGATGAAAAAAACATAATGTTGAAAATGTTGAAAATCAAGAAACTTCAGGATAATAAATTGAAATTAATCCCAATTATTATTCCTACCAAATGGGCTTTAAATTAACCTTTCTTTTCCTTTACTTTGTTTATTCTATAAAAAGGAGCCATTTGTGATTTTGTTACTACATTCCATCTTTTTGTGACAAAAGACTCACAGAGGTTTTTTAGTTTTCTTTAGCCATCATGTGATTCACCAGTACCAAGAGTCGCCCCATTATGTGTCGTGCAAATACGAACTTGAAATTCGTCCTTAACAATTGGGTCTCCGTGGTGTTTAACTTAGAACCAATGTTTGAAATATTCTAGATATGCTCGATATTTTCACGGAAATATCCAAAAATTTAGGAACGATATGGAAAGAGGGATATTTCTGGAAATCAGTCAATTTCCTCAATGTATTTTTTATATTTTCAGGAAAATCTAGTGTTTGCATACAATTTGCAAAAAGTTTGCAGGAAATATCCATGAGCCTATGCATTCTTTGTTTTTAATTTCTTTCTTTATGATATTAGTTTACCTCAATAAAATTTATGTTGTTTTCATGACGAAAATTTCAATTAAGTTATGTATAATTTATTCCTCCTAGTGAAATGCTTTATTTATTTATTACTTGTCATTATAAGGAAGTTTTTCTTTTAACATATCACATACTTATTGTTTACACAATATCTAATTATTAATTCTTGATTCATACATGTGTTGTGACTTTATATGACTTCCCTAAACAATAATTGTAAATTTCCATGTTTTTGAGCAAATTTCCATCATTTCTATAGAAGAAAATCGATATACCTATTGTTATTTCCACAAATTTTTACCTATCAATATTTTCACCAATACTAATATTTTAAACACCGTTTACAACTTTTAAGACTTGTCCTTTTTTGGATTACCCACGGGTCACCGTCAGACACGAAACCTCGAGAGCATTGAACGTAATAAACTCAAACTCCGGCCCCCAATTATCACCACCACCACCCTCCATTCCCAGATTTTGACTATATAAAGATTTCCAATTTCAGTTACCAGAAATTATTCGCACGCTAAATCCGATTGCTTGGCATCTAAGGTAACAGTGCACACTCCCGCTCTCTCTAACTCCCCAAATTTAGAAACCCACCTCTCTATTTCCCCTAATTTTCGTTTTCCCACCCCCACAAAACCCTAATTTCCCTTCCGGATCGGCCCCAATTTGCCAATTTTTTGCAATTCCGCTTCTTGATCCGAAGTATGTAAATTTCTTTTTCGTCTTTGTTTTTTTCTTCGGTAATTTATGTCCCAATTTGCGAAATTAGGGATTCGGAAATTTGAAATCCGGAATCTTTTGGGGATTTTATTACCTTTTGTGTTTTCTCATTAAATTCGGATCTGGTGGTTAGGGTTATTTGTTGTCTGTGCGGAATGAAGATCGAGGAGTTGGAGGCGGAGGGGGATTGCGGCGTTCGGAACGACGCCGTTTCCGGGCGGCAGGTAGTTAGGGTTGACGAGGCTAAGAAAGCGCTTGTTGGAGCCGGGGCGCGGATCCTTTTTTACCCGACCCTGTTGTATAATGTGCTTCGGAACAAGATGGAGGCTGAGTTCAGATGGTGGGACGAAGTTGACCAGGTTTTTCTCTTTCGAATTTTGTCAATTTATTAGTTTTTCTGAATTGGGTTAGTTAATCCTCTGTTTGTTGACTTTGGAAAGCGTAGAACATTTTAACTATTTTAAATTTTTTTTTTTGCGGATTTTATATTTTATTTTTGTTATGTAGCTACGATTTGTTTGGTTTCTGGGAAAATTGGTTTCGAGAGAAGAAACTAGTTTTTGGGATTTATCAATTTTGTAAGAATTTTGTCTTGTGATTCCAATCGAAGATATGTGGCTTCATATAGGGATTAATTTCCTACAGTCAGTTTACTCACTTTCTTGGCAATCAATTGGAATTTGGATGATGGATAAATATTAAGAAATTGAAAATTTCATGTTTTCAGGACTCTAGACAAAAATGGGTACTTTTTTTTTTTTTTTGGAAACTAAATGGGTACTTGTTGCTAATACATATTTGAACATCTGGTTAAATTTCTAATATTGTATTATTATGGAATAGGCCGAGTATATCATATGTATGAATATCATCTAGGTTTTGTTGTGAGAGATGTACTTGTTTGGGTAGAATGTATTTCTTTGCTCATGTTGTGGTGTTTAATGGATACGTGGTGTTGTTCTTTCAGTTTGTTCTGCTCGGTGCGGTTCCATTTCCCAAAGATGTTCCCCAGTTGAAGCGGCTGGGTGTTGGTGGTGTGATCACTCTCAATGAACCTTATGAAACTTTGGTTTCAACATCCTTGTATCGTGTGCGTGACTGCTCTGCACCATATGGCTGTGAATTGCTGCTAGCAAGTTAGATATGCATATATATATTCTTGGCTTTTGTTTTTGGATAATATGAAGTAACAAAGTCATTATTTCAAGTTTTTTTTCCTCCAACAGAAATATGGTTTTAAAATATCTAAAAATGGGCAAGTTTGAATTCACTGTTATGTGTTTTAAATTTTTAATATATGAGAAGAGGAACCTAAAGATTAAGATTTGAAATTAGAATGATTGTTTCTATTTGTTTCAATTTGTTTTCAGAAGTTTTATTACCCTCCCAATAAGACGAGTGAAATCCATTTAAATCTTGTCTATTTGGATCCTACTTATTCGTTTAAGATGTTTGAGGGTTTTCAGGCCCATGGAATTGACCATCTAGTAATTCCCACGCGAGATTATCTTTTTGCCCCTTCATTTGTTGATATCAACAGAGCTGTAGAATTCATTCACAGTAAGCGATCCTTTTCTACTTCAAGATTTTGCTAGTTTGTAATTTATTAGCTTTCATTGGTAGAGTTGTTAGCTTAATTATGTAACCTTGGTTTCCCGAACACAGAGAATGCATCATGTGGTGAAATTACTTACGTGCACTGTAAAGCTGGTCGGGGAAGGAGCACAACTATTGTGCTTTGCTATTTGGTAACTATCTCCTGCTTTCAAAAGTTAGCTGGTTGCGTTAAGTGAAGAGTTACTGATGATGACCGCTTTTCAACCTTTAGGACATCATAGGATTGAATTGATTTACTGTCTGTAGGTGAAATACAAGAACATGACACCATCTGCAGCCCTGGACTATGTTCGGTCTAGAAGACCTCGTGTGCTGCTAGCCCCCTCACAATGGAAGGTATGTATTGTAGGTCTCTCTTATATTTTTGCATTTTGTTATTACCTGCAATCTTCTATCATTTAAAACGTTTGATCGTTGCCGACTGATTTTATTATTTCCCATTCCCATAACCTCAATCACCATTTTTTGCTGTTTCTTGGCAGGCTGTTCAAGAATACAGCAGATGTGGACCAACTACCACAGCATGTTCTCCCTCCGGAGATGCAGTTTTAATTACCCAAGCTGATCTTGAAGGGTACCATGGAACTTACGACGACACTGCTCGTAAGCAGTTGGCAATTGTTTCTAAAATGGTGAAAGCCAGCCCCATGATAGCTAGGTTATCGTTCCTTTTTGCATCCTTGAAAGTCACCGGAAATTGTGGACCAGTCACGAGGCAGTTGCCTGTGCCGGAACCACGTGCTTGCTGAGCTCTCCCACATATCATGCAAGTGTCAAGCGTTGTTTGCTTGTAGAGAAGAGCACGAATGCATAGAAGTTTTATGAAGCGCTGGTGTTTCAGGTTGCATCATGTTTACGAGAGGGAGAAAGGTAAATGAAGAAATCAAAGAAAAACCAAAAAAAAGGTTTCGGCAGCTTTCTTCAAGGTTGTGTATACTGTATAGCACTATGGCAATGGCTGAGGAATGTATTGGAGCTTCTACATGTACATTACAGCGCATCAATTTTTCTTCCTTTTTTATTGTCATTTTTTTCTGTGTTAGTGTTCCTAGTTTGTACCCATGGCACACTATGTACTGTTGCTGCACTGCATTTAAAGGACCAATATTTTGCTTTTTAACCTTTGTTGTTGTGTGTAGATTATATTTTTATTTGCTTTAGCTGCTTATGTCAACCGTGTAAGAGGCTGCAAATTTTTAGAAGGTTTCTTTCTTTCTGTTATACGTCAGCTGATGTCTATGTTCTGAATGGCGGCAGGTCTTTAAGAGGGTGAGGTGCCATAAACTATGTCATGGAGACAAACTTTTGTCCGACCGGCTGTATACGGAGAATGACTTGCATACGGAGAATGACTTCAACAAAACAGGTTCACTATTACTACGGCGTTTTGTTTAAAAATAAAACAATCACGTGTATGTGGGACCAAATACAGGCGACGTGTTAGTAAGGCTGCATGCCACGTGGTATGGGCGGAAGCTAGAATTTGCCATGGATGGGTTACAAAAGTTATCTTCTGCTTGGTTGTTAGAGGTGTCATACAGATGATATGGTTCTGCATCCAACCTAAGATTTGCCTCTATTTCAATGCAATGGCCAACTATTGTAGTTGTAGAGTTGGACCATTTTGGTCTTTTTACACAGAATGAGTTATCTGTCCGGCTACATTTCATTACTAGATTGTTTGGGTTAATTTGTAGTGATTTATCGTGTGATTTATGAATTCTAGGCCCATTAGGGTCATCTATTAAAGCCCTTCTTCACTAACAAGGCCCACATACTCTATTTTGTATGTGCCCAAAACTACTGAAATTCAAAGACGTAGTTAGGCCAATGGTCAGAGCAGTGTAATCGTCTATTGTATTCAAGTTTCAATCTTTCTCGGCATGAATTAAACAATTTAGAATATATTGCGCCGCTTCTTTAAAATGGGTTAATTACACTAATACCTTCTAAGGTTTATCGTGTTTTCACTAATACCCCTTTAGGTTCTAATTCACTTTCACATAACCCTTTTAGGGCTAACATCACCTTAAATAATTTCTTAAAGACAATTTTGCCCTAATTATTAATTACTTTATGAAAAATGCTTTATAAATAAATAGAATAAAAATTAAAATTAAAATCTTACATTAAACAATAAAAGGAAATAAAAGAAAATTGAAGAAATCTTGTTACTTTCTTCCTCTATGCTGTTAATTAAACAATGAAAAATGCTTTATAAATAATTGGAAAAACCCTAGCAGAACAAATCTTTCTCCTGTTAAATCATTTGGGCATTTCGGAGTAGGAATGTTGTCGGGTAATTTCTTCCAAGAAGCCAAATTAGGTACTCTTCTCCATGTTTGAAATCAGGGCTTTCTTCCATATCGTTTTCTTGTCGAAATTGGTTTCAGTTTGGGTGAACAAGGAATGAAGGAGGTTGACGAAGAGATGGAGGTGGCGGTTTGAGGACAAGAACAGAAAAATAATTGAGAGAAAGATCTGAAGATGCATAGGTGGCTTTCTATTTTTATTTTATTTTTATTTCATGGTTAATGTATGTTTTTGAAGTCCAACAAAAAAAAATCTATTTTCTTTATATTGGTTATTATTATATGTATTTTTAAAAAGCCTTTTTTATTTTTTAAAGTAATTAATAGTGAGGCAAATTTGTCTTTAAGAAATTATTTTAAGGTGATGTCAGCCCTGGAGGGGTTTTGTGAAAGTGAATCAGAACCTCTAGGGGTGTTAGTGTTATGTTTCAAACGTGAGGGGGTTTTGTGAAAACACGATAAACCTCAGGGGATGTTAGTGTAATTAATCCTCCTTAAAATAGTAATACACGTATTAACTCATATCTTCTATATATAGTTCATTTCACATGGAAACATCGTGGAAACACACTTTCTAATTCAGATGTTAAAAATGAGTTAATTTTGTGTATGCGAATAGTTTTGATGTTCTTTTAAATATCCCATCGACTTGATGACTCCCATACAAAAAGATTGAGAGCAAGAGAGAGAGAGAGAGAGAGAGAGAGAGAGAGAGAGAGAGAGAGAGATGATCAGTCTTTTGTTGTTGCATAAAAACAGAAAACAGAAACAGAAGTTCCACACTGGAGAATCATATCAAATGGCCATGGTGCAAGACCTATTAGGGCTGGAAATTTGTCCCGAACATCCCAAACCAAACCAAAAAAATTCCGATCCCATACCAAAAAATTTCCAAATCAATAATACCAAAATTTTTGGGAATACTTATGTAAAAGCACTTCAGCTTATAAGCGATACTGTTATAGATACGTTAAAAAAATTAACTTCAAGTGCTTCCAAAAAGTACAGAATATGGAACTTCAAAAATGGTTTTTAACTTTTGTTATCAAACGTTGTTAGGAGGGATTACTTGTTCTAAAAACACTTCTATACATACCCTTAGAATTATAAACTAGTTCGTTTTTCATGGCAGTTTCTAATTTATGCTACATATTAATGCATCTCTTCTTTAGCTAGTTGCTTAACTTCAAAAGAGGCATATGATTGATTTCATACTCTTTTCCACTACATGTACATGTTTTCCTTCCAATCGATGTTTGCATACGAGAGATTTTTTCAATGTGCTAAAACACGGAGTGGTACACTGCATGTTATTATACAAATTAAAAGATACTCATAAAATAATATGTGTACAAATCTGTGTTTCAGACATACTGAAAAATTTATCTTTACCGATGATCTTACATACATATAACCACTCAACGTTTGGCAGTTTATATGTAATGACTCTTTTCTCATTCATATCCAAACCCTATCCTAGCATATATACAATTGTTTTATTATTATTAGAACATTGTGTTTTCAACATGGATAACCCCTACATATTCTATTAATTGTCCAATAGGACTCATTTCATTTGCCCAATTAGTCCGTACAAGTTACATATGGAAGATATATACACTTATAAAAACGGATAAGGATCCTCTCCTAAGCAAAAGGTGAGAATTCTTCTGACCAAACTCATCGGACTGTTGAAATTTTATTCAACGGTTACAATAATTATAATTTTATGAGAAGCTCCCTGTTTGTAGCTGTTGGATAAAATTTCAACGGTCTGATGAGCTTGATTAAGAGGATCCTCACCCTTTGCTCAGGAGAGGATGCTGATCCTATAAAAACCTCTCTAACTTAAGCTGATGTGATGTAATTGGGCCCCCATTTACTTTTCAAAGAAAGCTCCTTTGCAACCTTAGTCGGCAGGGCTGGCTTCTGTAGCTTTTCTATAGGTATGTATACACACAAATGTCTGGTGTTTATATATGATACCATATTCACAACATGATTGCAGAGCTTTTACGTAAATTAACAAACCATATTTGTGTTGTTACTCCTTTCATCACAATTCTAATATCCATATTTGTGTTGTTTATATTTGATACCATGTTCACAACATGATGGAATGCTATCCTAATATATAAATTAATATAAAAAAAGTAAGAGCATTGTACTTCACGTAGTTAAGATGATTATTCTGTATTCAAATTTTCCTACCCAACACTGTGTTTATCAAACAAAACGAAGATAAAATTACGATAAGAAGTTGTCATTAAATCCTCAAGATATAAAGAGTATGTAGTTGCTTAATTGCTGCACCCATGCACAATATGCTTACCAAACCCTCCAAACTAAAGATAGTCTTGAAGATCGACCCCAAATGATAAGGATATATATGTGCGTAGCCGCAGTAGTGGACCATATATATATGTGTGCGTGTGTGCGTTTGCGCGCGTGTTTTATATGAAAACTGAAAAGCAAATCAAAAGAGGTGGTGGGTTGTTGAAGAATATATCCCAAAAAGTGTGAGTTTGGCCATGTTGTGATATTCGTCCTTGCACTACCTACCACCCATAATTCTTTCTGCAACTTCTTTATGGACCAAATCTCTATACAACAAGAAATACCAATATATATACTTGCTACTGCTAGCCCTACCAGTGCGTATTAAACTCCAATAATTAGATACTAATCTCAGTTTCTTTCTTACCCATCTATCTCTACCCAAAAGATTAAAGCATCCAAAAGCTTCCACAAAGCGAAAGAATTGAATATCACCTTTTGAGGTTGATGTTGAACAAGACACACGCATACATGTATTTCCTTTAATTTTTTTTTTATTCCATTTTTATATTTGCATATCGAAAGAGACACTTCCTTCTATCCACATATAGTCCATTTTGTTGGTGTGTTTTTTTTTACTGATATATAAACGAACCCTAGCAATACACAGCACAGTGCTGAATTCCAGCTGCAACTCATACAGCCATATACCCCCAGATGTTATTCTGATACAATAGCAAATAAATGTAGTACATAAACTACACACACACACACACACACACATATTGTACTAGCTAGATTGGGACAATATTCATATGAATATATATGCTGCGGGGTATTTTTAGTTTGTTTTCTATAAATATATGTGCTAGAGGATATGCCAATTTACAAGTTCATAAACTAACTTTATATAATTTAACAAATACATATATTTCAGAGCCCTTGTATTTGTATAATCAGGGTAATTCGGAATACGGATTCGATCAGGAGGTGTTGGTCATTTTGAAAGTAAAAGTTTATTCTTGTCCTTTCATTCTTGGTTCCCTCTTTATTCCCTTCAGAAACTACGATGAAGCTGCTTACCCTCCATGTTGTTTTAACCTTTATTTCAATTTTCATGCACGTCCCATGAAAATAAAGATCGCATGCACGTTACTCTCTCTCTCTCTCTCTCTCTCTCTCTCTCTCTAGCTAAGAGCGGGAGAAGCATATCTTTACTCTGTAATACTGCTGAAAAAGCTCGAATCTGGAAAAGAATAAAGCAACAAAGAAGGCTTTCAAGTAACAAATTAAAGAACGGAGAGACCGACTAAAAATGTGAACTTCATGTTACTATATACTACACTAAGATTCCAAATTAATTTCAAATAAGAAAATTATTTTAGCTGAACCCCATTTTCACTTCCTTTTTTAGTGGAGTAGTTCAAATATAGGAAAAAACCACTAAACGACCTTTAAGAAAAGCATAAAAGCCATGCACTTCGACTTCGAAAATCCACCAAAAATGATATCGTTGTTTTCATAACAGAAGACCAATTAGGATGCAACTTCCACTTAGATGTGGAGATATTTCATTTGTCACTTTCAAGAAGTGACATAAAATCTATTGCAATTTATTTTATCTTAATTAATTTTTCAAGTTTAGTAGGGATCCACTTAATCGGTGGCATGGGGAACCAACAGAGTAAAGTTTCTATCCGAACAAAAATAGAAAGCAAACTTCCTTTTTATAATGGGAAAACTAGAGCAATGCAAGCACTCAAGATAATTGTATCTAAGCCAGAAAGCTCTTCGCACTAGTGAATAATTTGGAACCCGTGCAGAGAATTTGCTTCACTAACTAATGGTCATCACCACCCCCATCAAGCCATCACCTCCAAATTCAATGCATAACTCTCAACTTCAACCTACAACTCAAGTTGCCAACATTGAGAAGAAGATCACGGAGGTTGCTAAAATGTTATGAATTGTCATGATGTGACCACCATCATCTTCACTAGCCATAAAGAAGAATTGGAAGCTGAACCGGTTGGTGGATTTTGAACATAAAAGTTGGGATAGGGTTTCGATGGTCGTAGGTGGGCTTGGAAGTGGCATGGGCTTGATATTTTCGATCTTCATTTTTTTTTCTCATTTTATGTGAATTTGTTAATTTATATATATATATATATTTCATTTTCATGTCTTTTATTAAGTTATTTTATTAGATTTTACTTTACAAGTAAGCTAAAAAGTGAGACTCATTGTTGCCACATGTACATTTAATGAAAAAATTAATTGGGGCTAACATTTTCAGTAGGTTGAGCACTTGTTTGGAATATTTAAAAAGGTTGAGACTAATTTGAAATGACACTAAAAGGTTGGGGGAATTTTAGGTATGTAAGGTTCATTTGATAATCATTTCATGTTTCAATTTTCAATAAAAAAAATTTGAAAGCTACTATTGTGAGTTTTCAAAATTTGACTTGACTTGAATTGATTTAACCAAAGAAGTTCTTAATTTTCATTTAACAAAAATATAAAACTGAAAATTAAAATGATTGTCAAACGGGTTTTAAATATGCTCTACCATATATTATATGAGTAAAACAATTACATTATATCTCACGACATCATTGAGAATCAAATTCCTTGTCTTTTACTTTTCTTTAATTTGCTTGTCCTTTTTCTTTTTGGGTTCTATCCTATGTATTAATTTCCAATAAAATTGAAACTTGAAAGACGTAGACAAAAAGCAAATCACTCTGAAAAAAGAGATTATTGTCTTAATATAATAACACATTTTTATTTATCTTTGGAGACAATATTAACCTCTATTGGTATTTTACTAACAAAGCCAATAACCAAAGCTAAAGTACAATTAAGAAAGTATAAGTTGCATTAATTGGCGCAAACTATATGGTATTTTTCTCTGTAAAAGAACAAGAAAAAGAAACATTATACAAACATTTAAAAAAATAAATAAAATAATAATAAGAGAACATAGCCCATAAAGATGATATTATGTAATGATAACGGTGATGATTTTCATGCATGAAGAGAATAATAATGGTCTTTGGTTTCTCCTTCTATTTTGTCAGACGAGATTGCAGTATGCAGCCTTTCGTTCGTTTCTTTCCTTCCTTTTCCTTTTTACTAGCTCCCCCTCCCCCCCCCTCCCTCCCTTCCTCCCCTCTCCTTTTTTTTCTCTCCTCTTTTCTCTTTCTTTTCCAACATGGACCGTTTGCTCAGTTAGTTCAGTTGAAAGCCGAGAGAGAGAGAGAGAGAAGAAAGAAAAAAGTTGGTGACCAAACGAAACCATGGACGGCTATACCTTCTTGGCTTCTCACGTTTGAAAAGCAACTTGATGAGGGAGTCGATGGTGGTGTCAAAATACAAATGATGATTGATTGATGACAATGATGTTGTCTGTGACTTGACTGTGATCAATGACGGCCATGAGTTTATTGTTCCCTCTCTATCAATATATTTCTTTTTTGTGTGCTCTTCTACCCATGATGATCTGGGTTGTCAGGGTCAGGCCAGAAGGAGTACTTCATCCACTCTGCCTCTTGAGGGTTTGGCATCGATGACTCCTGCAACAAAATCAATTGCAAGCTTGCCACGTTTAGATTAATCATTAGGACTAATTAAGGTTTCTAAAAAGTTAATTTCTAATAAGCGAAAAAAAGAGTTTCTACTTGAGTCCAATTGAAGGCGGGTCGTTTTCACAATGTACATTGCTATGTAAATAAATATATACATAAATATTTATATATTGTTAGGGTTGGTCCTATTAAGTTACCTCATTTAAGGAATAAAAGAATGGGTTAACAAAGGTGACATGAACAGAAATTTTGTGTTTTGATTTTTCGGTTTGAAATTATTCAACATAATGACGGCTTTACAGTCGGGTAACAAGAAAGATTATATTCTGTATAGTCTTTTCATTTGGGGGGAGGATTATAAAACCACCAAAAACATATATATAAATGATAAGGCAAAAAAAAGAAAAGATAAAGAGAAGGGGGCAAAAAGGCTTTGGCTTCTCTCAATCTTTAATTTAAATTAATAGTTAAAGAAATTGGTTTTTATTGCTTTTGGTTCTTTCTAATGATCCTATGCTTACTTTTCCTTTCTTTTTATCTTGTAATTAGTTTGTATTATGACAAATCAAAGGTCATGAAATTCAGAGTCAAAAAGTTGGTATATGTACTCACTTCTTTGATATCACTACTGCTAGAAGTGCAGCCCATTATTAGTTCCTCCAAACCAGATGCAGACCTAGCTCCCATTTTATGATGCTGTTGGTGGTGGGGGTGCTGCTGCTGTTGCTGCGCCTGTTTAGTTATGAATAACAAAGAAATGCATTGTATAAAAGACAAACTAACAAAAAAACAAAAGGAAATTAAATAAATATGTGCACATCTTAATGATATTGTCTTCAAGGACAAAAAAGTGAAAAGACAGTTTCATATTTGCAAATACTAAAAGCTACAGAGATAGGTCTGCCACATGTACAGTACAGCATGGCATGGAAGCTACGGTTTCACCATGTGACGACGGAGAGATTTTTCAATGTATTCGGAATAGTATACGAATACATATATTCTATGTCATTATATAAATGAAGAGATATTTAAAAAAAAAAATTTCTTCATTTGTATAATAACATATAACGGAACCCTACATTTTCCTAAAGCATTGAAAGATCTCTCGCGATAACGGGCTTTGCAGGTGCAACTCAGTCCGAGTTGTTGACTCAGCCTTTTCCTTTTCTCCTCCACTTCCTTTCATTTTTGGGTTGAGGAACATTTTTTATTCAATGAAGGTTTGGCGGCATAAATTAAACTAAGGACAATACAGTTTTGACAACGAGTAACGTACTATAATTAATCATTTATTTATTTTATTTAAATGGATGATTAAATGATTTTAACTTAATTGATTTTTTGTAGATATAATTTTTAAATATTGATAATAAAGAATATAAAAAGTTTCGTTTTATAAAGTTTGTGTTATAAAAATATGCTAGTCATAAGTGGGTAGACAAGTAGCTAGGTTTGCACACAGGGTGAACACAAGTGTGTGCGCCAAGTAATAACACTTGACCACTAGAAGAAAAAAAAAATAATGTAAAAATTAAACCAACTAGAATAAATACATCAACAAATTTAGAGGCGGTGAGCTCTAACTCAAGTGATATTGGAGCAGGGTGAGAAAATGATTAGTTCAAATCTTAATCATGCGTAAAAATTATTGTTTCAATATGTATAGATATATATGCTAGCTAGCTAGGGTTACTTGTGATAGTACGAAGATATGGACCGGGTTTGATGGATTACCTGGAAATTTTCGTTTTGGAGCATCAACCGGGAGTAGGAGTCCTGATCAAGAATGATGGACGTGTGGTGGAGAGGAGGTGGAGAGATGATGGTGGAAATGGGATGTGAAGGGCGGCTGATGTGGAAAGCTGCAGCTGTTGCAATTTGTTGATGGTGATGCAGTTGCTGCTGCTGCTCGTGATGATCAGATACTAGTTCATGGCTTATATGATGATGATGGTGATGATGAGGCTGTACTGGTACTGATCTCTGGTGGTGCTCTCGTATCTCTTCGCACGTGCCAGATGCCAGTCCTTCCCTTGCAGTTGAAGCCTCTCCTCCTATCCCCACCTGCAAATGTACACCTCCATGAACAAATTCGCTACCATGTCTTTTTTATATCAACCACATTTTATTCACTTCATTTTCTTATTAATTTTCTTTTTTTTTAATTTGTTTGTGTGTGTTATTAGTCTAGTACCAAAAAATTTCAAACTATAGACCCTTTTGGTGCGTGAAGTAGTTTTTATTAGCTGAGAAATATAATCAAGAGTGGCCCCATGAAATTTGTAATGCCGCAATTGCAAGCAATGGGTTATGAAGAAAATGACAACATATGGAAAACATTTTTATTATTAATATATAGTATATATATGGCTAATTAATTTTTTGGAAAAAAAAATATTTACATGCATGTAAAACCTGTAAGTGTGTTTGATTTAATAATGAATAATGTTGGTCTTATCACATTTTTATATCACATATAACTTACAAACGATTTGTAAATACAACGTTAGTTAAAATTTTTATCTTAATAATTAATAAACGTTAATTTAATTGTTTTGAAGTTGAAGATGTAGAAAGCATTAATCTAATGTATATATGAGATTTTGACAAAAAAAAAAAATGTAAATATGAGAACATGAAAGAATTATTACCTCATCAAAGCTTTTTCTGAAGGGGGCAAAGCTGAAGTGATCTGACTTCAACTGATGAATGTCAATGCCACTGTAGCTTGAGATTGGAGCAGCAGCTGCAACCGCAGCAGCTGCTGTTGCAGCCATTTGGTCATGATCTCTATGAGGATGAGAAGGTAATATTTCCTTAGAAGAACTACTCCCACTCCCACTATCTCTTCTGCTATTAGTAGCCATAATATCACTGCTTCCTTCACCAGTTGTTGCACTCGCTCTATCAGACCAGTTGCATTGCCTTGGCTGAGTCTGATAGAATATCTTTGACACCACAAGCTCTCCTTCTTTCTCCTCCTCATGCTGCCCAAGATGGTATTGGTGCATCACCCAATTCGTCTTTTCGGGTTTTCGGTTTTTGCCAAAGTTGGTGTAGAGGACTAGAATTTTCTTGCACCCTTTTTGTTTTCCATTCACCATGACTGGCCTGGTCTTGCCTGTCTTGTGCCATCTTGTTTCCCCACCTTGCAAGTCACATTCTGTTTGGATTTTTCTTCTCTTTCTTGTCCCAGTTGTGTAGGCTTTTGAAGGTCTATGGAAGAAGTGCCTGCTCAAGCCATCTCTTGTGACTCCTATTGCAAGAAAATAATGTGATCAAGAAATTAACATTATCTCAAATCAAAAAGTTAGGTTGACTTAGGTATGAGAAAATGTGACACAATATTTAGCTTCTTTCAAATTAAGTCATAACCAACTGAAGTAGTGTATGGTAAGAAACAAACTAATTGCAAATCATAAAATTTCAACTTCACTAATTTTGGGGGGAGGGGGGGGGCACAGAGAGAGAGAGAGAGAGAGAGAGAGAGAGAGAGAGAGAGAGAGAGAGAGAGATTAATATTCAAATACTTTTACCTGGAAGTTTTTCAGGATGGGTGTAACAAATTCCATCTTCTCCTTCAATTGTAGGGATGAATTCATCAATCAAAGGGTGAGACTTGGAGTTTTTGGCTTCTACCTTTGCTTCAAGGTGTTCAATTAGTTCTTGGTCTGTTGGATCAAATTTCACTCCTGCTGGTAGACCTAACCAGTCCTGCAGTAAATTAACTCAATTAACACAATTCGAACTAAAAATACCATTAAAAGCAAAAAAAGAAAAAAAAAGAAAAAAAGAAAAAAAAGAGAACAAATACATTAAAGTAAAAGATAAAGATCGAGGGACCCTTTTTATATTAGCATAAAAAATTTACTCTAAATTTAAAACAATTACTTTCAAACAATATTATGCAAGAAGCATAATTCTTCATGTGCTAAGCTGTAAGAATTAATATGTGATTATTCGTACCGGCTTTCCTTCGAGTTTGTGTCCACAACCGGGACACTGCTTGGATCCGCACATCTGATGCTCTTCAAGCTTTGCATCAATGAGATCAGAACTTCTGATGGACCCCAAATTACTCTTATTCATTGCTCTTTTCGAAAGAGATGCTATCGTCTTCTTTCTCTCAAACTCATCAACATACCGTCTTCTGGGAAATTTTCGTCATCCTTGTAAAAACGCCTGCTGCTCATATCCCAGCCGCTTGCTCTATATATACGCAAATCATACACAACTTTGATTGAGATCTGGTGATGACTGTATGCACAAAAGGGTAATAAAAAACATATATTCGATATATATATATATGTGGGTTAAATCTGGGAATTTGATCGAAGATTGAAATACGAACTAAATATCAAGCAAGAAGAACAGCTTCATCAAGCTAATGAAGAAGGAAAGCAAAATATCAAAAACAAGTTTTGAACGATTATAAAGTTTATTCCCTTTGCTGAATCAATTAATATGAGAAAAGAAGAGATTTATTTGCAAAACCCAAGTCAGAAATATGAAACCTAGCTAAGACAGAAATACAGATATTTTGATTGAGGAAAATCGGTGAGGAGGAAAGAAGAGGGAGCTGAGGTAACTAGGGAGAGAAAAAGAAACTGTCACAGCGAGAGATTGAACTATAAACCTGCTTTAACCATGGAAAACACCAGAGAGAGAGAGATAGATGAGAGTTTCCTTCTCCACTTTAACTGAAGGGGCAGTGAGAAAAAAAAAGGAAAAGTTGCCCTCAAACCCCCATACTACATACCACCTTTAAGCATTTAAAGCCTTATTTCCTAGGCGGTTTGGAGAGAGAGAGAGAGAGAGAGAGAAGAGAAGAGAAGATGATAGAAAGAGAGAGAAAACCAAGTTGGTTAAAGAAAGCTAGAGAGCCTTGACTACAAAAGCAAACGCAAGAAACGGCCTCCACAGCTGTTACTAAGGCACAAATACAAAAGCAAATGAACCCATCCTTGCAATATTTATATATTGTACAATAGTTTTATATATTTATACAAAAGTGTGTTTGTGCAAAACTTATGCCTAGTCAATAGAACATTGTTATTTTTTCTCTAGATTCAAATTCGATATTTCTCTGTAATTTAGATAAATTTAATATAAAAAATTATTCATATTATAAAAAATAAAAGTGTGTATATGTATAAAATAATGGTTGGTATTTTCATAAAAGGTGGATGTTAATAAAGTTGAAAAAACAAATAGAGATATACTTGAACGTATATGTCATCAGACTTTGAGTGACAAAGACGAAATCAGGAATTTGACAGTCCCAGGTTTGTTTAAAAAAATCATATAATTCCTATCAGTTTTTTAGTTAAGAGGCGTACTAAAGCCAAAAAATTTCTTCATGGCAATGACAGAATGAAAAAAACAATGGGTAATTCTAGGGAAACAAAAATTTTAAATTAAATTATATGATTGTTGATGATTGAATTATTACTTAAATATTAACTAACGTGTTTATTTCTTATTAGTAACATATCATTTAGTTTGTAACTTTGATTTAAAATTTGGCCCATTTAGTATTATCCAAAAACGAAATATATAGTAGAGAGAAAAAAAAAAATGATAGGTGCTCACATGGGTTTTGAGCTGGAGTGCTGATCATGATGCTTTGGTCATGGATGTTGCCGAGAGATAGAGAGGTATTAGAAGGTTGCTTGATATGCAAGGCAAATGAGCAGTATACTTGATGGTCCACCACCACCCCTTCTAATTACAACTTATGCAAAAAATCACTTTATAAAAATAAATAAATAAATAAATAAAATCCGAAGGAAACTTGAGGTAGAAGAACCCACCCGGTAAATAAATTACCTCATCCGAAAACAAATCATATGTTTCTGCTTGCAAAATATGTTTTTCAACTTTAATCCTTTAAGAAAATTAAAATTTAATAAAAATTTGTTGTTAAATTGGATATTGATTTTAGTCCCTTAATGTGTACTTAATTCAAATTCATATTACATTTTTATTTTAATATTTAATAGACATCTTATTTAATGTCATTACGTTAAATTTTAAATTTATTATTATACACATTTTAATTTATTAATTTTATTTAACTTCTTCTAATTAATGTACCTAAACGTCCGTATCATAATATATTTTACTAATTTAGTGTACCAAAATATCCGTACCTAAATATGTTGCAGTGAATTAGTGGCACATAAGAAAATATGAAAAAACTAGTGTACCGAAAATTCCGTACCTAACTATATGATATTAAACTAGTGTACCGAAATGTCTGTACCTAAACATATTATACTAACCCAGTGTACCGAAATGTTCGTACCTAAATATATTGTAATGAATTAATGTCATATAAGAAAATATGCAAAAACATAAGTGTACTGAAAAATCTCTACGAAAATATTTTCTTATATAAGATACTCACCATAATGAGAATTAAAATGCTGACATTAAATCAATTTTTAGTCTTATATAAGACATTTTTCTAAACTTCATCTTATTTAGGGATTAAAATTTAATTTTCTAAAATATATTTATCTATGGCCCTTGTTTCTGGCTTCTGTTATTTCTATTTAGGGGAGGAGCTCTAGGGTACTAAGCACACATACAAATTTTGTGGAACGAGTGGGGTCCCCAAAGGGTGGGACCTAGACCCTTGCGGCCTGGGAAAATCTTGTGATATCAAAAGTGTCTTGATATGCATCAGATGATTGTGAGCCGTTCACGTTTATAACATTCATTCAAGCAGCCAAACATAAAATGATGGATGGTCCAACATGCTGTTTACACAGGACAGAGATGTCCATGATTGCTCATTTGTCTGATATTTCCTCCCTTTTTTCTTTAATTAAAAAGACGAATTCCTAATTTTGTTTTTAATTTTTTAAGCCATTTTTTAATGAAAAGATCAGATATCATTGATTCTGGGGAATATATAACATAAATACGTACAGAGGCAAAAGCCATGCATTCTACTTGTTGAAAGCCTTGGATTGGTCCTGTCCTTTTTATCCCTGGGGAATGAAAGAATCAGATTGTCCGGATTGTATTTTTTTAATAAAAACAGATTATCTCAACACTTTTTATTTTTTAATATTTTTTATATTTTTTTATGCTTTATTAATGATACTTTGTACGTAGAAATTCTTTAGTGTGACCAAGTATTCTATTTATCGTGAATTTTTTTTTTGTTGCTGATGATTTAGTTTGTTTGGGTTTATCATATAGTTTGAATCTTATCTTTTTTGAGCAAACTCCTCTTTCTTATCGTTAGTTGTTAGTTACAGATATAAATTAGTTTTGTGACCTCAGGATATTCTTATGTAATCTTTTTTCCTTTGGGCTTTTGCCCCGTTGTCAACCAAAAAAAAAAAAAAAAAAAATTCTTTGATAACAATGAATAGATGAGCGAATTTATAATGTTACGAGATTTGACATTAACACTCAAAAAATTTCTTCAATACATGCGGTATGCATATCCCCAAATTTTTATTTATTTTAAAACTGGAAATTGTTATGTCTTTTCAGCAATGGGAAAAATTGGGGCAAAAAATATTTACTTATAAGGGACAATTTAAATTTAGCATTGCATAACTATCATAGGGTGGTCAAATTGTTGGAGATGAATTTCAAACCCGCATTTCACACAACACGTTCTGAGTTTGGTTTTGGTTTTGGTGAATCACATGATGGTGGTTAGGGAGATGTTGAAATGACTCTGTGAGTTTTCCCGGTTCCTAAAAGGCTTAGATTGCCATGTCGAAACTACCAGCTGGTTCCTTTTAAAACTTTCAAAGCACTGCATTATTTGGGCACATTTATGGGGAAAATACTCCGTCTTTATGACTTTTTGGTGGTTAATACTTGGGTACACGTACGTGAGTATTTACCTTTTGGTTTTGTCTAATGATATTTTAAAACATGTTTTATTGTTTTAAAAATAAATGGACATGTTTTAATTTTTTCTTGTCTTTAAAAAATAAGGAACACATGATATTTTTTTTAATAGATCAAATCAAAAAGTGAGTACATAGAATACTGTACCTGATTATTATCTTTTTTTGGTCAATCACTCTTTATGAATTATATATAAGTAAATACACGTATGAGAATATTAGTTACAAGTAGCTAGAACGACTAATTAATACTTGGTACATGTAAAAAGAATATAAAGATTATTCAACCCAACAATAAAAATAAAAACCTTGCAATTTTGCAAGTTATATTCATAAAACCCTTTGAATATGTTTCCTGAGCAAAATTCAAGGCAATAATATCAGGAAGGAGAAGGACAGAAGGAGTTGGGTAAATACTAAAAAGCCATGATGTCTGAGACCAAAAGGAAAATGCTTCGTACGAATACCTCTATTCAAACACATGCTTTCAAATGTGGACATTTTTTTCTTGAAAATGCTTGATCGGCACATGCCACATTCGAACACAGACACAAACGTTTACAATCGAATATACAGTTCCCGAATTTGTAGTGCAGTCAGATTTGACTTGAAATGATGTAAATGCTTCTCCGGCATCGCTAGCCAAAATTTGCATAGTCTTAAATATTTAGGATTCATTTGAAATGCTTTAAAATAACTAAAATTGTTTTTAGTGAAATTGATTTTGAATTCCACAAGCACTTTAAGTGCTTTTTAGAAGAAGCACCATATATGTTCTTTTTGCAAGAAGCACTTAAAAATGTTTTTCTAAATTCTACTTGAATTTTTACTAAGATTGGTTTCAAAAATATTTTTTACTAAAAGCGCTTTCAGTTATTTTAAAAGTACTTCCAAACAAATCCTTAATTGTTTCCGTAAAGTAAAACTCGCTTCAAAATGTAGTGCATTGGTAGGATTTGTCTAGCCTCGCTCACTTGTGATCAACATTGTTCGGAAAACTAAATTTGGCTCATGGTAACTAGTTTGTTTAAGGAGTATTTTGAGAAACTTGGAGTAAAAACATGAGTTTAGTCCATCTATTGGAGATGATCTTAAAGCTTTTTTGTTAGCAAACATTTACCTCCGCACTCAAGTTCATAGTTCAAATGGTCTTCAAAGTTTGACCTCTTTGTAACCAAACAAAATACACTACACATATAGTTGATGAATTCTGGTGCAAAATGCAAGAGGAGACCACTCATTTTTCTCTCTTTAGGAGTGGGGGTGGGGGTGCAAAGACCACTTTGTCATCAAAATTATGGTTGTGGAAAGCAAACAACGTACTTTAATTTGGAAGAAAATAATATTAATGATGACTATGAGTTAACCATGATGGTGTTTTTGCATGCATGTTTTAACACATTCCTCATTGCCAATCTCATCTCATTGTAAAAGTAAAACTGCATATCGTGGGTGAGAGGGGGAGTGGGTGAGTACCAAAATGCCAATGGATATTCGACACAAATGGTAAATCCGTCGGCACATTCATGATTTCTCAAACAAGAAAGGGAGAGACGAGTAGGGGAGACAAAAGACACGAATAATATAATTTTCTTTTTCTATTTTACTTCTCTTTTCTTTTCTTTGTTTTGTTCTGTTCCTTTTTCCAGGTTGACAAGAAAATAGAAGATGCAGAGGGAGAAGAATAATGAGAGTTTTGTCCCTAAGTCTCTTCAACATTATTTATATCAGAGTTGATGTGAGTTAGATCAGTTCATCAAAATAGTATATTTACTTTCTCGAACCAAGAGTTGGCTAATACATCGTGAGAAATACTAAGGGGACTCTCTCAAAATAGGACTCTCCATGGACTCTTTCGGTATCAACACTGTGCCAAAAACATGAGGTGGCAAATAGTCCATGGAGAGTCTCCTTGGCATTTCTTGTATATCGTATAGGGTAATGATAGACCAAATTTATTTGCAAACCAAATGATGTGTCATTACTAAGAAATAAGTAAGTTAATCAACAGTTAAGTAATAATCCAATCAACAACCACATCATTTAGTTTCAAAATTTAGTTTAAAATTTTGGCCTTCCTAACACTATCCATATCATATTTATGATCCCCTTAAACCAAGTTCGGATACTCTAATTTGTAGATTAAAATAATTCAGAGTATGGTCAATAGTTTAGAGTATCTTCTTGCGATAAAATATATTATCCGACAAATTTGAGTGTACGGACGTGCAAGATTTGTCGTTGTAAATTGTAAGTTTGGTAGGATAGGACTCCTAATGGTTGGGAGAGAATAGCAATGCTGATGTTAGGTTTATCTACCATATCTAACATTTGATTCCATTTCTTCAACAATTTGCACCTTGACTTCTCCAGCACCATTTGCTAATAAAATTAGACATAGTGATACAATAATAATGGCATAACCATCACTGTCTGATAAACTCTACCAACAAGAGATACATATACGCTCGAGATTACGTATGAAGTATCCTCATTTTATTCGAAATTTTTGTACGCAAGCTCTAGCGTATGGGATGTCAAGCACAACGATGGCAGCAGGTCAACTGACTGCCCGGTTTAGAACACGAAAGCAATCTCATTTTAAATGGAACTTTTTACTGACTGAATCATAGCTTGGGACGCCGGTCGCGCTAGTAACTGCAAAACAACAATGAAGAACGTAAAAAGGTATTACAAGCAAAGCAAACTTGTGAATCATTAACGGAGGATTCGCACTAAGATCGGAACATACAATCTCCATATGTTGCCATTGTGAGAGGGGAAGATAAAAGCTTTTGACCAATTGAAGCAATATCTTCTAACGAAACCTCATCCACAGCCTTCAAGAGCTGGCTCAGTTTCCTAACGAGAACAAATATTTCCGTGAAGATAACACCAAAAACAGACTTCTTTCAAGTGGTTTATGCAAGGTGTAAGAGGGAGAAGAGTACTGACACCGATGGTTAGTACTTAATTTAGCATACAGTAACTCAACTTTGTGAAATATATCAGGGCTATGTTCGAAATTCTAACAATAGCAATGATGGTACAATCTAAAAATATGCTCACAAAAAGCATTATCGGACAGTTCATTTTCATAAGACACAATAACTAACAAGCAAGGTCCGCATTAACAGTAAAAAAATGCATTAGGCCTTGTTCACATCCAACACGGTTCAACACAAATAAATACAGGTATGACAAAGGCCTTACCAGTCATTGTACGTCAGAATCTGTCTCCCAATATCATCTGCAACAACCGTCTACAGAATGCAAATAAAAGATCAGCGAACAAAATAACATTTTTTCAAAAAGAATCTTGATAACAAAGTATGAAGCCATTGTTGCGAAAATACACTGATTGTTTACATACTCTGGATTCCAAATTCATAAGAATGGAAGACTTTGTTGACTTTTTAGCACGATCTAGTTCTACCTGGTCAACTGTGCAGAAAAGAAAAGAACGTGTTAGCAACAGTTTCAAATTTTCATGTAAAACAAAGTGATTAAGAATCAAAGATAGCAAGATAACCATCTCCAGGTGTTGCGATTGCAATAAGCTCATTAGCTGCCATATCAATGGCTGTTGTGACAAAATCTGGAGCCTGAAATCCAGAGACAGCTCCCAGAATTATTTAAGTATATATCTAGAAAATTCTCCTTATTCACATTTTCGCATGACATATAGTAGTTTCTTACAGTGGAGGCTTGGATTCCAAAATTGCCAGTATTGTTGTAGATGCTACTGAATGCTAAAATCGAATGAAATTTTGAACATCGATTTAACACACGAGAATCTGGTCATCAGGCATAGCACAGTAATTCAGATGCCAAGGTTATTTAAACCAGAAAAAGAAAAGGGTGAACACTTCAGTTTTAAAAGAATGGTATAGCTTGTAAAACAAAGGGTACCCTACTTAGTGGAGCAAAACCTCTGGAAGTATTAATGTCTGTCATGTCTTTTTTCTTGTTGGACTATTTAAATTTCTGTTTGTCTTTTGAAAAACTTACATAGACGTGAGTGCATCCCTTTTCCAGGTCCACCGGCTGAAAAAGAGCCACCTCCTCCCATTAGCACCTACAGTAAACTGGATTCATTACTGCTTTCCAACTTTCAATCCTAATAAAGAGCAGAGTAAAAATCTAAAATGCAAGTTTAGTATTAAACTCTCATTGTGGGAGGGGGGAACACAAGGAGTTATAGTTACTAGAGACAGACGATAATTGATATAGACCTGAAGAACATTCACAATCATTGCATCCTTCTCATTTCGCCAGCCACTAGGAAGTTCAAAGGCAAGTGCAAAATGAGTTTCCTGTCATGCAAGGCAATTCAAACTTTTAATTACTGGATGAAAAAGAAAGAAAGGATAGAAAAAGTAGTTGAAATACACAAGATACACACCCCTAAATCACCTTGACAGCGGTAATCACCTCCAGTATACACAGATTTTGGCTCCTCGGCAGTAGGGACACTGGGAAGATCAGACAAAAGTGGTTCTGCAATTTTTAGAAGTTCCTCATGTTCAACACCATAAGCTGCAAGTACCATTCGAGAAGCAGTATAATTTTCCTGAAATTATCATCACAACCTCAACTTATTGGGAAAGACCGACAAGGCAAATAATTAACAGCAAAACACAATGAATAATATGGATTTAAATATAACTATTAAACTTACAGCAACAAATTGCTCCAAAACATTACTGTTCAGCCTACTAATTGAAGATTCCTGGGCTAAAAGTGGATTGGCCAAGCCACCCTTGTAACCAATAGAGTGAACTGCTTCCAAAACAAGGGCTTCGGGGTTTTTGGAGGCTTCACTAATATCGTTTTTCACCTTAGGAAGCTGTAAAAGATGAAATGCAACACCAATATTAGCCACAAATTTTGTACAGCATGTAAATTGTCAGCAGACGAACAACAACATTCTGGAAATTTACCTCCTCATTAATTTCCCAATCTAGGAAAACAGGGTTCCGAACACAGTCGATAAGCAGCTCTACCATTTCAGGAACATTGGTCTTCAGACCATTGAAGGTGTAAGCCATCTGCTCCCGAGAAGCTGAGGCTTGGACGTTACCACCAATAGCCTCCACCTCTCGCACAATACGCAAATGGCTTCTGTTCCTCGTGCTCTTAAATGCCATACGCTCCAGCAGGTGTGAGGCCCCAGATGATTCCAGTGTCTCATAGACTGAACCACAATTAATATATAAACCTACTGAAGCAGCTGGTTTCTGGTTGAACACCAAAATCCAGCAATTATTGAGTTAAATTCCTCCCTTTTGGTCACTACGCAAAGTAGACAAGAAACTTCAAAATATGCACCTCCATGATGATCATACATACCTCTGACTTTAGAGAAGCTATTTTGATACCATTCGGGAGAGTTGTAATTTTGACATCCGCTGGTTGAACATGGTCAGGCAATGCAGGTGGGAGGTTGATGCCTGAAAGAGGGAAGTCTAATGGAGGCATAGACCTGGAATTTCCCCCAATCAGCCAGCCAAACAAACCTCCGAAAGGAGAGGAGGAAGAGGATGGCTTCGTTCCAACATCATTCAAACTTGAAAATCTGGCCACTCCCCTATGGAACGCACTTGTACGCCCCTAATATCCCCAATCGAAATCAAAGAATAGAAGTTAGATTCTACCAGATTACCAACATACACACATAGACTGAACCTTTCGTTTTCGGGTAAATTACTAAGCCTCTCAACTTCCACCTAACCTTGCAGAGCCTTCAAAAATTTGAACTTTACTAACCTAGCGAATTGAATTTTTCTCTTTTGGGGCGTCATGAATTTTTAATTTTCCTTCTCAAAAACTTGAAGTTTACTGTTCTAACGAATTGAATTTTACCATTCACGCTGAGAAAAAATTGAACTTTACTAATCTAACGGATCGAATTATACTATCTTAACGTCTCATAACATTCAATTTTCCTTCCTACACTTTCTCGGCATCCAAACAACCATTACGCATTACTAAAATCCAGATGAAATCACTGAATAATCAGCGAGAAGTACTGACCTTGAGAGCCCTAAGGCGCGAAGCTGCGGTTTTGAACATGGCGGCGGTCCGATGGGTGCCGATCACCTTCAAAACCCTTGACCTGTACGGACTTTGCTGTCGCTGTAAATATTTGGTGGAAGGTTTTGGGCAGAGTGGAGGAGGAATTGATTGTCAGGGACTCACTGGTTGGCGCGTGCTGGCGGCACCGTTACGGTTTGCGGAGGTCGGACGCGTGTGGAATTTTCTGGAAGGGGAAATCTGCGCCGGTGAATTGACGACAAGATACTGATTGAATCTTTACATCGATGGCTGGAGTGGTGCCAAGTCAACACTCGTGTATGGGCATATACGCCTTGCTCTTCAAGTGTGCAACGAAATTTGGATTTGGGCTTCAAATCGAATTTTGGATTTGTTTTATTTTTCCTTGTATAACAAGAAAATCACATTCAAAACAAAAATAAAAATCCCACCAATTATCGTCTCATTAAATACCAGGCAATAATTTGGTTACATATAACAAAAAGTGAATCTAATAGTATTTTTTTATTTAAAAATGATTAGTTGGTCGTTTCGCATGACAGTCTAAACTCACAATGACATTTTAACCTCTTAACCACAACATGTAATTTAACTGCGTCCAAAATTAAACTTGAAACTTGTTGTATGAAATAAGGACCTAAAATTCACCTCAACTACTGCACCACCCCGGAGAGGTTGAATCTAATAGTATTAACTGATGAGAATTAAATAGTTTTTCAATGTACACGAAAATATCGTTATTCAAGTTTTTAAACTCCAAGGTCAAGTAGATGACGCTTTATTGTAGTGAAGAAAAATAATGATGCATACGCACTTTGGTGTGAGTTCAATAACCACCAATCTCCTTCCCCCTAACAACTAACAGTTTAACCTACTAACAGTATCGTTTATCCAAAAAAGAAATCAAAGGTACTTGATCCATTTCAATCTTCTAACCACTTAAAATCTCGCTAAAACATACGAATTGATTCAAGATGGGTGACTTCTAATGTGTCATAAAATTCCTATATTTCGTTTAATTTCACCCTTGTGTTTTGTGTGCTTATGATAAAATAATTCCCCTCTATGAAGTTATCATGTTTTTGTTAGAATATTCATCAAACAGGTATACTATTCATCTTAGATCTCGGGTGTGACACGTGGTCCCATTCCAACAGTTCGATTATTCTAGCAACGTATGAGCATCAAAGAATGTGAATATATCCTTAGTGCTAGTAACTCATGACGACGCTAATGTTAATGAGACACTGATCCTTATTCAAAATGATGATTCCGTTTATAGATTGATCTGGAAAAGCAATGGTTTTAAAGGAATCCTGCCAACTTGAAAGCAAATTGGAACTAATTAAACCACAACATTTTGTAATAAAATCACATACCTACAACGCAACATTGATTAGTAGTAGGCTGCTAATACGTCTCTTTAAAATCTTGACATAACATATGCATAATAAATTAACTGCTCTCTCTTTTCTCTACTACTTGTCCTGCAGAGCTATTCCCTTCAATATTCACCTTCTCTCCTTTTCATGCACATCAATTTGCATACAGTGGCTATCTACAAATGGTAGTTTCATTATGTCTTTAGAATCCAAAACATTTCGTTAAAATTGTATTCAGTCATTTTAAAATTAATTCTAAATGAGATAATAACGTAGAACATTATTAACCATGAATCCATACATTACGTTCATCTCTTTTACAAATAAAGTGCATCGATCCACCTATCGCCATTAAGATTGTGACAAGAACGCCTGAAGATGGTTCTACAGAGTCCTACACAGACCAAAACCATAACCCTAATCTGACCATACAACTACGTGTGGCACACGGCTACTGAACGTGACAAGTCCAACCTCTCCACAACACCCTCCATGAACCCCGGGCGCTCTTTTTCCACGTCAAGCAATCCCTGTGAACACAACAACTTTGCAGTAAACGGCGTGTCGTCTCCAACTACCCTCTCAAACATTGCCGCCGAAGCTTCAACGGTCAAACCTTTCCCTATCTTCTTTCTGCATTTTAATTTTAAATCAATAAATATTTTACTTTTTCCCGACGTCTGTTAATTCAACCCCCACAACCCAAAAAGTAAAACTTTTAACCGTTGACGTAAATAAATTCTAGAACCTTATAAATTTCCAAATTTGTAGTTTTGTTTCGTCCCCAAGTATTCTTGCGTGAAGCTCACTTTTTTATCCACCATCAAAAACCCAAGACAAATCAAAAGGAATTTTCACCCACCATTTTTGTTTTCTGGCTTTTCTTCGTATAAAAGTATGGTGGTCGTTTCTGTTTCTGAAGCTAGTTCAAACTACTCATCGTTTTTTCCCTCTGCTTTCCGATGCATTCAGTTTACAGTTCTTCCTCTGCAATCGTTTCACTGAAGGGTACAGGTATTTCGGATTATTCGAACCCGGTTTCGGGTTCTAGAACTTGGTCCAAGAGTTTTTCGGGTTCGGGTCAGAAAGTCGGGTGCTTTTCTCGTTCCCAGATGGAGAGCATGGGTAATAAGGTGGTGGTCGGCACCGGTGGTTATGTTCTCGAAGATGTTCCTCATTTCTCGGATTACATTCCTCATCTGCCGGTACGTCGTCGTTTTCATCTTATCTTTTCGATTGTGAACTTTTGTTGTTTGTGGATGGTTTTGTGGTAAAATTGGTTGTGTTTTGATGGCCTTTGCAGACCTACCCAAATCCATTGCAAGACAATCCTGCATACTCAGTTGTCAAGTAAGTACTTGTATGACATTTGTGTAAAGTTGTTTGCGGTGTTTCAAGTGTTCTAAAAGTCCCGTCTAGCCCCGAAGGTCCACTAGACACTAAACTGCTAGTCATTGTTACGATTAATTCCTAAGCATTTAATGTGTGTTGCTCAATTGGGTAATTTACATGATATGTTTTTGTTTTTGAAATTATTTTCAGGCAGTACTTTGTTAATGTGGATGACACTGTTGCACAAAAGGTGAGCCTTTTCCATATTGAATGTAATTTCCCTCCAATTTTCTGATGAAGAATTTACATGTTGGAATTGTACAGCAATGTACAGCAATTTTTACGATCTGTGTTGAATTAGTTCTTGTGTTCTCTTCTACCTTTTGTAGATCGTTGTTCACAACAATAGTCCAAGGGGCACACATTTCCGGCGGGCAGGACCGCGTCAAAGAGTACGTTTTTTCGTGTAATTTACCAACGAATTTCGACATGATTAAATACCATGATCCCGTCAATGACTCTGTTGGTTCTTCGTCATCAGGTGTATTTCGAGTCGGATGATGTTCATGCCTGTATTGTGACATGTGGGGGTCTATGCCCTGGACTCAACACGGTGATTAGGGAGATAGTATGTGGCTTGCACCATATGTATGGTGTCAAGAAAGTTCTCGGAATTGATGTAAGTGATTTAAAGTATAAACCGATTTTCGATTGTATGATTCAGTGGCGTCATTGGCTGATGAAGTTTTCGAAATTTTCAGGGAGGATACCGGGGTTTTTATTCACGTAATACGATTCCTTTGACTCCTAAGAGTGTGAACGACATCCATAAACGCGGTGGAACAATCCTTGGGACGTCTCGTGGCGGCCACAATACCAAAAAGATCGTTGACAGCATTCAAGATCGTGGAATCAATCAGGTTTTTATATTGTTCTGTGCATTTCTTGGGGTCTAGATCCCTTCACAATGCATAGATTTTAACTTAATTGTTTTTATGTTACAGGTTTACATAATTGGAGGAGATGGAACCCAAAAGGGTGCATCTGTGATATACGAGGTAGTCTAATCTATAAGATTTCCAGTGTCATAATATCATTACGTTTACCTGTAAATTATTTTCAATGATATAATGGCTATTCGTCGTGCAGGAAATTAAGCGACGAGGTCTCAAAGTAGCAGTAGCCGGAATCCCCAAAACCATCGATAATGACATTGCGGTACATTTTTGGCTTAGCGTACCTGTTTGCAGCTGAGTTATGCAGATGATTTGTCACAAATGAACAAAATATTTTGGTAAAATGTTCTTTCTTGTTGTTACACTACAGGTTATCGATAGGTCCTTTGGCTTTGACACTGCCGTTGAGGAGGCTCAACGTGCAATTAATGCAGCGCATGTCGAATCTGAAAGCATTGAGAATGGCATTGGTGTTGTAAAGCTGATGGGTCGCTACAGCGGTAAGCTCACTGCTTGTTCAAAAATCACTAAGATTGTATCGAAAAGTCTGCCTATATTTACTTGTTTCACCACTTAAACTGGATGATGGGATGCAGGGTTTATCGCTATGTATGCAACGCTTGCAAGCCGGGATGTAGACTGCTGCTTAATTCCTGAATCACCCTTTTACCTAGAAGGCCCGGGTGGACTTTTTGAGTACATAGAGAAACGACTCATAGAAAACGGGCACATGGTCATAGTCATGGCCGAAGGTGCTGGCCAGGAGCTTCTTTCTGAGAGCATTCATTCCATGACCAAACAGGACGCTTCAGGAAACAAGCTTCTCCAAGATGTTGGACTATGGATTTCCCAGAAGATCAAGGTCTATATTCTAATTTCTAAAATGCATTCTCACCTGTTATAATCCGCTAAATAAGATTTTCGCGCACCAGGTTCGTTGATTTAACTTTTGTTTTCTGCAGGATCATTTTAAGAAGGGGAACAAAATGAGCATAAACCTCAAATATATAGGTTGGTAAATAAACATACAAAATTTCTACTTATACATTTATGTTCCCATCAAGTGGGAAGGACTAGAGCAAATCAATCAAGTCTTGCACTTCATTGTTTGCAGACCCTACGTATATGATCCGAGCGGTTCCAAGCAATGCATCTGATAACGTGTACTGCACGCTCCTTGCTCAAAGCGCCGTCCATGGAGCAATGGCAGGTTATACAGGATTTACAGTTGGGCCTGTCAATGGGAGACATTCTTATATACCCTTTCATGTGAGTGCCTCATATCATGCATAAAATTAAGAGAAATACGCAGACTTTTAATAAAAAACAGAAAGAGAGGGACACCAAACATACAAGAAAGAGTACTAAAACACTTGCTAGGTATACGGCTAAATGTCTGTTTAGTGTCGCCTAACTCTATTTAACTAGTTCCGTTAACGCATATTACCCTAAAATTAATCTATCTTTTAGTTTTTGATAAAACATGAACTAGGGATTGACATGAAGTGATTGTTGGATGGTTGATCTGCAGAGAATCATTGAGCAGCAGAACAAGGTTGTGATAACTGACAGAATGTGGGCACGGCTCCTATCTTCGACAAACCAGCCGAGCTTCTTGAGCACTAAAGATGTCATCGAGGACAAGAAGGAAGAACCACCAACCCAGTTGCTGGATCACGAAAATGGTTTGGAGGACAACTTGTTGAACAAGAAAATCAGCTCTGCTTGTAATTGAGATCACGACTGTAATGCTTCTTAGTTTTAGTTTCATGTATTCGAAAGAGAGAGCGAGAGTCGAAGTCTTATCTTTGTAGGCGTTCAGGGATGTAAGGCATCACATATCTGTAAGAAATGTTGTTTTCTTCATCAAAAATTTGTACGGACGTTTGTTTCCAGAATAATGACAGTAATAAGATGATTTGATTGTATATTGTAAACATATGATTTTGAGGCAGTATACCATGAAAAAAAGTAATGGATGACCAAGACCTCGTTTGGAGAGATCAAGAAGAGATATTTTACCGATTCTTTCAACTATTATATCTTTTCGCTATTTAAAGAAGAAATTTAATCATCAATCGTCACGTCACGTGGTCTACAAAATGTGGTCTCTCTAACATCACCCCTTAAAAAACTATGAGTTCGTGTTTCGTTTACCAAACCAGCACTGAACGTATCGGAAGGTTCAATGGTACACAACCGAACAAAAAGCTTGAACTCTTTTTGGGAACACATTCGGTAGACCTGTACCGAAATCAAAGTCAATTTCGGTGTATCTTGACTGACCTTATTCAGAGAGGTACTTTCGGTGCACTCCACCAAGCACCTCACATGTTGTTGAATACACCCCATTTAAAAATGTAATACTAAACAACTTGTAACTCTAATATGAAATGACTATTCGAAGCCTCAAAGCTACTCTTACTCTCCAGTGTAGAACAAAACCCTAAAAACACAAACAAGTTGATGAAAATACGTCTTTTGATGAACGGAACAAAAATATCAAGTTTTGCTCCTCGTTCATTCGTTGGTTTTCACATTCAAGAAATTATTTAAATAATGAAACAAAAATTTGACTTTTTGCAAAGCCCTGCTCTAGTTGGAATCCAAGAAATAGGAAGAAAACTGGAGAATGTTGTAAAATTTCAAGATGTAATAAATGTAATATTCTTGTAACTGTTTGATGATGAAGAAATTCAATATTTTTTGGTTGGTTGGAATTGACATGACCTCAGTACCTACCATTTGTCCATCAGGCTTCTTAGAATCCAACGTATTTATTCAAGAAAATTTGACGGATGCTTATAAATCAAACGGCAAGATGGAGATTTTATACAATTTAATTCATCTTTCTTGTCTTTAAAATGTGGATTATTCTATTATGTGAAAGAGATGAAGAGTTTAATGTGAGATTTTATACAATTTAATTCATCTTTCTTTTCTTTAAAATGTGGATTATTCTATTGTGAAAGAGATGAAGAGTTTGATGTGTGGTTAATTAGTTGATGATTGTGGGGATGTGGGATGTACAAGATGTGAGGTGTGAGGGTAGTATTGGAAAGTAGGGTGATGTTAATAAAACAAACCAAATATTTATTTTTAATAAGAAAAAGGGAAGCTTGTAAAACTGGTTCAGCCAAACAGATCCCCGAGGCTGCTCGAGCTGCAGAAAAAACCAGACGTCCGTCTGAGAAGTTGGAGAGAGAGAAAGAGAGGGGAGGAAGGAGATGGGGATCAGATTCATACTTATGGTGAACAAGCAGGGGCAGACCCGACTTGCCCAATACTACGAATACCTCACTCTCGAAGAACGGCGAGCTCTTGAAGCTGAAATCGTCCGCAAATGCCTCGCCCGCACCGAGCAACAGGTCCTCTCTCCCTCTCTCTCTCTCTCTCTCTCTCTCTCTCTCTCTCTCTGCACTTTCCTTTCATCGATTTCTACGCTTGATCATCAAATCTAAATATCCGAACCAGAATCTCCGATTTCTTTTGTTTAATACGAAATTAGCAATGCCCAATTGTTCAATTCTGAGTTTGCCTGTTCAATTGGGTTGAATTCTGAGATCTCAGTTCCCAATTATTTTGTTTAGATTTTGCTTGTGATCATTAAAAAAGTGGAATTGGGATCCAGAAATTTATTGGGTTATTTCGGTTTGTATCAGAATTAAGAAATTTTAAATTTTTACTGGATGCACTGCTTCCTGAAATTGAAGTCGCATACAAGTGAAATAGGATGTTCTTGTTTAGTCGCTTAGGTCGAATTCGAAACTCCCGAGTATAAAGTTTGATAATTTGAAGTTGGAATATAGGTTGTTAATATCAAGCACTTGCTACATTACCCTATGGTCCATGTTCTGCATTAGGATTTATGTTTAGGGGATTTGGTGGGCAATCTCATTTGTCACGAACCCTTTTCGAAGTTCATATTTTCGGGTCCTGCTGAACTTTTCATCATGTGGAAGATTTCACTACCTGCCTTCCTACCTTGAACAAGGTCTTTGTAAACGGGTTGTGTTGGTTATTAGGATGCTTACACATATAGGTGAATGCGGAATGCGGGATGCTAGTCATGTTTAGGACCAGTTATTTCTTTGCTTGCATATCTATGGAATTTGGCTGGGCTGTGTCCTAAGTTTCGTAGTTGAACAGCAAAAGTATATGAAACTTGATGAATTTGTGAACTTAATTTTTTGTTTGTTTGTTATTAGTAGATATTATGCAACAGGCGTTATACATGTCTTTGATGCTGATGTGTATTGTACATGGAACAGTGTTCGTTTGTTGAGCACCGGAACTACAAAATTGTGTACAGGCGCTATGCTTCGTTGTTTTTTCTGGTTGGAGTCGACAATGATGAAGTAAGTTACTAACAACACAACCCTGTTCTTTTGATGCCTCCAACCATGTCTTCTTAATCGCTGTTTCTCTCTTCTTGTCATTTCCATTGCAGAATGAGCTTGCAATTTTGGAATTCATACATCTGTTGGTTGAAACCATGGACCGCCATTTTGGCAATGTGGTAAGCTCCTCTTCCAAAACAGATTAACTAAGTATTCTTTTTCTTCCAACTTTCGAGTTAATCTTGCAGTTTTGTGTATTTACTTCCAACTATATTGTTTTCTCTGTTCACCTTCGCAGTGTGAACTAGACATCATGTTCCATTTGGAGAAAGCGCATTTCATGCTAGAAGAAATGGTCATGAATGGATGCATTGTTGAGACGAGCAAGTCTAACATTCTGGCGCCAATTCAGCTGATGGACAAAATGACTTAGAAAGATGCCGTTGTAGATGCTAGTTCGCTATGCATTGTATCGAGTTACTCGAAGGGTTTGAATTTATTTGTGTTTGCCTGTTGTACAATAACTGCAAAGAGGATAAATACCATATTTTTTTTCTTTGTTAATGAAAATCGTCGTTTATTTTGCTTGAATACACTAACTTTGTTGAAATTCATTCAAAAACACAAAGGCAAGTAGAACATTGTGGAAATTTGTAACATTTGATCTTGTTGATGTCTGAGGAAGCACAACCTAAGCTACACATGATGTCTTTCTATGTACTAACAAATCTGCACAGCAAGACTAAATATCCCACAAGGCACTCTCCTTCCTAATCTACAGAAACTTGCAATCATACAGCTGCAGGCTTCCCGTCCTTTCTCGGGTCACTTACAGCAGTGAGCCTACCGTGAAATATTTGTTCATTAGAATTCTTTCCGCCTTTCCGGCCTATGTTTGCAGGATTTTGAAGGGTTTGAACAATGAGCTGAGTGATGGCTCCCCCTGCCTGAGCCTGCAACTGATGACCCCGCTGTTGCAAGAACAGCTTTCTTTCGTCTGAAAGCTCGATGTGATCGCCATCTATGACAGTCATGTTCTCGTAGCAAACTATGTTCGGTATCAGCTGCACGGAATTAAAAGAATAAATTAAACAAACGTAAAGAGTTCATAATATCTATCATGGCTATGATCTGAATCAAGAAAACAAACCCTGTGGTAGATCCTTGGACTTTGAACTGCATCTAACGGGTCCATCCCTAACACGAAATGATTAAGGAAAACCTGTGTTACTGCTGGAATTATGTTCATTCCGCCACTGCCGCCAAGAACCCCGGCCAACTGATTGTCCTGCAAATGCCGAAAAAATTCCCTGTTATTGGCTACTATTATCTTAAGGACACATAGTATGCAATGCAGTAGTTTCTGTACCTTTGTGATAATAAGCGGAGTCATGGAAGATAAAGGCCTCTTGTTCGGTTCGATAAAATTTGCCGGAGCAGGAGGGAGATGGTCGGGGGATATATCCGTTGGGGTTGAAAAGTCACCCATCTCGTTGTTGAGCAGAATTCCGGTAGAAGGAGAAAGCACTCCAGCTCCAAATGGGTAATTTACGGTGCTAGTAACCGAAACTGCGTTTCTGTCTGCATCTACTATGCAGAAATGACTTGTTCCATGATCTCTGAGCTGACTCCACCTGAATCATTGTGAGCTGAAAGAACTTTAGAGTAATGACTTAGAAGAAAAGCTCTAATTTGAACCAGAAAAGTCGAAACATCATGCCTGTGCAGATAGTACTCAGGAGGGAAAGTCGTGCTGTCAAATATCTTCTGCCGAATTTTCTCTGCGAATGATGGGGAAAGCATAGCAGAGGCGTATTTAGTTGTATCTACGAACGCAGGGTCGCCCAAGTTCATTCGGATTGCAAACATGTGTTTCAACGCTTCAATCAAGCGGTGTAGACCAAGATCTCCTTTTGCAGCATCTGAAGTTCCATAGCTGTTGAAAATGTTCAGAACCTGTGTTTCAAAATGCATTGTCATCGTCATCCCATTAGGATCGAAAACTCTTGCTTTCATAAGCTATCGAGTTTGATGAAGAACAAAATGGTAAAGAGAAATAACCCACCAAAGAGAGCCCCAATGTTCCACTCGAAGGAGGAGGCATTCCAAAAATAGTGTAGCCCAACACATTCGCAGCCACTGCATCCACAACATTCACCTTGTAATTCCTCAGATCCTCCATTGTCAAGATCCCACCAGCCTCTTTCACATCCTTGACTAATTTCTCGCCAAGAGTGCCGTTATAGAATGCTTGCGGCCCAAGTTCTGCCACCGCCTCTAAGCTCCGGCCAAGTTCCACATTGTAGCATGTATCGCCTTCCTTTAACATCTTCCCATTTGGTGCAAACACTTGCCTTAAGCCGGGATCACTTAAAATGTCATCTCTTAATGACCTTAGATATCGTCCAAGATAAGGAGCAACCACATATCCATCTCTAGCTAGTTTTATTGCAGGTTGAAATAAAGTCCTCCAAGCGATACGCCCATGTTGCAACCAAGCTTCATGGAGACCGGCTATCTCACCCGGAACTCCCATTGACAGTGCACCTTCAGTCTTGGCTTTCGGATTGCTCTCATACATGTTCTGTTTGTTCACA